GCCGGGGGGGGGGGGCGTGGCAGGGTCTCGTGCGGCAGAGGTGGGCTGAGGCCTGAAGTTAGGTTCCAACTCTTAGGAAACCATTGCTGTCCACGGTGGGGGCGGTCTCAGCCAAAAGGTAGTGACAGAAATCCAGCCACCCTGAATTCAGGAGGGGCTGGAGTTGAGGACGTGAACACAGCAAAGACGTGACTGTTTCCAGGAAGTTGGTAGGAAATCGGAAGGACAGACAGAGAGGTAGACTGACAGACGGGAAGGTCCACTCTGAAAGGGTTTACTTTAATGCAGGTTGGGTGGGGACGGGAGTCTTGAACAGGTGTATTTGCCGAGGAAAAGGGACAGATGGAGAAGGAGAAATTGAAAGTATAGGAACCACCTGAAGGAACACAGGCCTTCAGGAGTGGTCCGTGTTGTTGAGAAGACATTCCTGCTTTTCGGGAGCCCCTTGAGGAGAGGAACCAGGTCTTATGTACCTACTGTCCCTAAGAATCCCTGCACACAGTAGGCATTCAGAAAATGTTTCTTCAAGGGAGTAAAGATTTTACCTTTAAAATTAGTCTTTCCTGATTGATGTAGTAGAATAACAACAACAAGACCACTGTTTTTATCCTATAATTAGCATCCTGTAGTGTGCTCTACATATAAGCCATCTGTTTGCGGCCTTATGTTCTTTGAAATAAGAAGGACAATAAATTGAGTATTATTGAGGTCGTAGTAATCATGATCCCTTAACTTTTCTGTGCTTGAAATTTCTTGAATTCTGTATCAGCATCTTCAGATGTGTTACGGCAGTGGTTCTCAACCTTGGCTGCACATTAGAATCACCTGGGAATCTTTTTAAAATCCTGATTTCTGGGCCTCATCCTCCGGAAATTCTGTTTCTTTGTTACTAATGTTGTGGCCCCACCCCATAACAAAGAAACAGAATTTCCGGAGGAGGAGGCCCAGAAATCAGGATTTTAAAAAGATTCCCAGGTGATTCTAATGTGCAGCCAAGGTTGAGAACCACTGTGTTACGGTGAAGGCACTCTGCTGGGTGGGTGTGGGGTGCAGTTCATTGGAGGAGACGGACATGCACATGAACAGGACAGGCTCTCTCCCACTGTTTAGCAGAGGGACTCGGTAAGCTCCATGCTTTGGGGTTAAAATTCTTGATTTTTTAAATGTTCAAAAAAACGACATCATTTTGATTGTTGTCTATGACAGATGTTACCTACTGTAAATACAGTGGGGCCTTGACTTACGAGTGTCCCGACTAACGAGTTTTTTGAGATACCAGCTGTCTCTCAGCGATTTTTTGCATTGAGTTGACAGAGTAATTTGAGTTAATGAGCTCCTTAACGAGCTCGGTCTCAGAACGAATTAAACTCGTAAGTCAAGGCCCCACTGTATTTCTAATATTAACAAGGACTGACTTTGTATACAACTTTCAGTTCTGTAACTTAATTCTTTGAGAGTATATCCAAAAAGAACAAATTGGTTAACAGAGGTAACATCAGCTCCTCGCTGACCACATTTCAGGCTGCAGATGGTGAGTGAATCAGTGTGGGTTTTATTCTGCTGTGCAGTTTCCATGTTGTAGACCTAAAACCCACAACAAATATGTGAAGGCAGTTCTGGTTCACATTTTCCTTCCCGTGGCTTGTAAACTAGTGTACATATTGATGGTATCTCATTTTCTGTTATCTTTTTCCCCCTCGATTTCACTAGAAAACTTTTTGCCGTTTTTGGTTTTTTTTTTGTATTGTATCATTGCCAGTGAACTATATTACACAAAATATGCTAAGCAAATCAAATTAGTGTATATAGAATTCATTTGTGAAGACTAATGAGCTGATTTAAATGCTGACTTATCTTTAGTGAATAAAATTGTTTCCCTTGATGAATTGCTGTCTTGAGAATTGATTGGAACATTGTTTGCTCAAAATCTTACCTCTGTTGTTTTCTTTCTTTGACAGTAGATGCCTGGTAGACATCTTAGAACTTTAAAAACAGAGAAGACCTGCTTTTAGGGGAAAATGCTGAGGGACACTATGAAATCTTGGAATGATAGCCAGTCAGGTCTCTGTACCAGTGACCAAGAAGAGGAAGAAGAGATGGTTTTTGGTGAAAATGAAGATGACTTGGAAGAGATGATGGATTTAAGTGATCTGCCCACCTCTCTTTTTGCCTGCAGTGTCCATGAAGCAGTGTTTGAGGTGCAAGAGCAGAAGGTAGGCACACGTCCTGCCTTTCCCTGCATTGGTAGTGTGTTGACTGTATGTGGACTGGGGGGAACAGAGCAGATGGCTGCCATTTGCAGAGTCTGTTATTGGTCCATGACAAGTACAGAAAAGATGCATCAACCTGTACACATTTGCTGCAGCATTTTTATAGTGTTTTTTTTCTTTTCATTTTATTTATAGTAATCTTATAAGTGTCAGTCTGCAATAGAGAGGACATATTTCCTTCCCCACAAATATTTTGGGAACCACTGGTTTATAGCGAATCAGGTTTTATTAAGTGCATTTATTCATTCATTCACCCACTTTTGGAGCCTGTAGTTAAGAAAAAGCTACTGATTTTTAGTGTGGCTTCCTATTAATTGGGAATAAATTCACAAAAGTTCTTTTCTGGGGCTAATTAAATAATTAGGACTATGTGTGATTTCATTGTAATAGACTCTATATATATAAAAGCCCAAGCTACCGTTATGACCGAATGACCAGAACAACCAGTCGCTATGACATGCACTGACCACCAGGGGGCAAACGCTCACCGCAGGAGCTGCCCCCGGTGGTCAGTGTGCTCCCGCAGCCAACCTCCCCTGGCCGGCCAACCTCCCACAGTCCCTCCCCCCAGGCGGCAGGCCCCGATCACCTGATTGGGGCCGGGGAATAGGGTGGGTGGCGGTGGGGCTGGTGGCCAACCTCCCCCTGGCCGGCAGTGACGGTGTGGCGGCGAGAGAAGGGGGAGGCGGGGAACCGCGTGGTGGTGAGGCACCAAAAGTGGTGTCGGTGTCCGGCGTCCATTCCTTCCACGCCCGGCCCAACAACTGTCGCCTCCTCTCCCGACCCTGCCAGGGTCTTCAGGTCCCAATTGGCCTGGCCCCGATCAGCCTGGCCCCAGTCAGCCCTGACTTTTTGGTGAAAATGAAGATGACTTGGAAGAGATGATGGATTTAAGTGATCTGCCCACCTCTCTTTTTGCCTGCAGTGTCCATGAAGCAGTGTTTGAGGTGCAAGAGCAGAAGGTAGGCACACGTCCTGCCTTTCCCTGCATTGGTAGTGTGTTGACTGTATGTGGACTGGGGGGAACAGAGCAGATGGCTGCCATTTGCAGAGTCTGTTATTGGTCCATGACAAGTACAGAAAAGATGCATCAACCTGTACACATTTGCTGCAGCATTTTTATAGTGTTTTTTTTCTTTTCATTTTATTTATAGTAATCTTATAAGTGTCAGTCTGCAATAGAGAGGACATATTTCCTTCCCCACAAATATTTTGGGAACCACTGGTTTATAGCGAATCAGGTTTTATTAAGTGCATTTATTCATTCATTCACCCACTTTTGGAGCCTGTAGTTAAGAAAAAGCTACTGATTTTTAGTGTGGCTTCCTATTAATTGGGAATAAATTCACAAAAGTTCTTTTCTGGGGCTAATTAAATAATTAGGACTATGTGTGATTTCATTGTAATAGACTCTATATATATAAAAGCCCAAGCTACCGTTATGACCGAATGACCAGAACAACCAGTCGCTATGACATGCACTGACCACCAGGGGGCAAACGCTCACCGCAGGAGCTGCCCCCGGTGGTCAGTGTGCTCCCGCAGCCAACCTCCCCTGGCCGGCCAACCTCCCACAGTCCCTCCCCCCAGGCGGCAGGCCCCGATCACCTGATTGGGGCCGGGGAATAGGGTGGGTGGCGGTGGGGCTGGTGGCCAACCTCCCCCTGGCCGGCAGTGACGGTGTGGCGGCGAGAGAAGGGGGAGGCGGGGAACCGCGTGGTGGTGAGGCACCAAAAGTGGTGTCGGTGTCCGGCGTCCATTCCTTCCACGCCCGGCCCAACAACTGTCGCCTCCTCTCCCGACCCTGCCAGGGTCTTCAGGTCCCAATTGGCCTGGCCCCGATCAGCCTGGCCCCAGTCAGCCCTGACCGCTGGCCAGGCCTAGGGACCCTACCTGTGCACGAATTTCATGCACCAAGCCTCTAGTAGTTAATATTTCTTGTTTTACTTTCTACAGTTTGACTTGGGCAAAATGGTTATTTTTTAAAAGTTGCTTTCCTTTAGTTCATTTATTATTTACCTGGAAAGAGAGAGGTTTTGTGTGTTTATTTTTCTGTCATGACCTCACAAAAGCCTATAGGTCTTAGTCCTGCCGAAGTAAAATATTTCTCCCATTGCTACAAATTTGGCATGTTTTGAGACTTTCTCTCACAGTGCTATCAGCAGACCTCTCAGTTTGTGTCTGTGACTCAAAGTATTTTCCTCCCAGTGACTTCCTTGGAGCAGAACTCCATATAGTTTGACTCAGTACATACTTGAGTGCCTCCACTGTGTAAAGCACCGTGCCAGTCGCTTCAGGGCACAGAGCAGGAACTGAAACCGCTTCTGCCTGAGACAGTTGACAGTCCTGCAGTGGAGAGCAGTCGTTTGATGTACGATGGAATCCCAGTGCCTTTAGAGACATTTGAAAGTACATTGGTGAGAGGATGACAACCAGTTGGCATAAAAGTTCTTATGGGGAGATGACGTTGGGGTAGAGCTGTGAGAGTTGGCTAGGAAGTTAGTGAGGAAAGGAAGGGGAATTCTGACCAGAGGGAAGAAAATGAATGAAAGAGCTGATTCATGAAGAGTGTGGACCAACCACTTCAGCGAGTAGTAAGCAGTTCCGTGTGGCTAGTACATAGGTGAGATGTAGCCAAAGGCAAGAGAAATCTGGCCAGGGCCCTGGCTGGGTAGCTCAGTTGGTTAGAGCATTGTCCTGATACGCCAAGGTGGCAGGTTTGATCCCTGTTCAGAGCACATACAAGAATCAACGAATGAATGCATAAATAAGTGGAACAACAAATCAACTTTCTCTCTCTAAAATTAATAAACAAAAATTTTTAAAAAGAAAATTTATTTATTTACTTTAAATATATATTTTATTGATTTTGGAGAGGAAGAGAGAAGGGAGAGAGGTAGAAACATCAGTGATGAGAGAGAATCATTGATCGGCTACCTCCTGCACACCCCATATTGGGGATTGAGCCCACATGTGCCTTGATGGGGAAGCCATCCATGACTTCCTGGTTCATAGGTTGACACTCAACCACTGAGCCACACTGGCCAGGTGACAATTCATTTTCTTTAAAAAAAAAGAGAAATCGGGCAGGAAAGTGAGTGTGGGGCATCCTGCAAAGCTCAGGGGCTGGCCCTTCTGTGGAAAATAACCTTCTGAGCAACGAGTGATGATCAGAATTATACGTTGGGAAGATCACCTGACAGCATGTGAGGCAGTGGAGGAAGGAGAGCCTGCAGCAGGGAGCCAGTTAGGAGAGAGGATGCTGCAGACCCAAAAGTGGAACAAGGGGGCGGGAATACAGCCGCCAGTTTTTTATCTTTTGGGTTTGTTTTCATTTACAAATGCTGTTTTCTTTCCCATATTCCGTCATAATATAGAAATTTTGAAATAATCCGATCCTAATTTTCTCATACTTCCTAAGAACTCTAAATTTTCATATAATTACATTAACCTTGTTTATTTGTTGTGAGAAGCACATATGCTACTAGTTTATCTTAAAACTAGAGGCCCAGTACACAAAAATTTGTGCACTCGGCGGGGAGGGGGGTGTCCCTCAGCCCGGCCTGTGCCCTCTCGCAGTCTGGGACCCCTCACGGGATGACCACCTGCTGGCTTAGGCTCGCTCCCCGGGGGATTGGGCCTAAGCTGGCAATCAGACATCCCTCTGGCAGCCCGGCAGCCCTCGGGGGATGTCCACTTGCCAGCGGGGAGCAGGCCTAAACTGCAGTTGGACATCCTTAGCGCTGCTGAGGAAGCAGGAGAGGCTCCCACCACCACCGCTGTACTGGCAGCCATCAGCCCAGCTTGTGGCTAAGCAGAGCTCCCCCTGTGGGAGCACACTGACCACCAGAGGGCAGCTCCTGCATTGAGTGTCTGCCCCCTGGTGGTCAGTGTGTGTCATAGTGACCAGTCATTCCCAGTC